TGGAATATTATTCAGCCAGGAAAAGGAAAGTAATCCTGCCATTCATGACAGCCTGGACGGACATCAAATGTCCTCCCTTTAAGTTTTCACTATAACTCTTAGCAGAGTTGCTAATACCTGAGAATGCAACATACTTTTTTAAATTTTCATCTTGTTTAGTTTTATGTAAACAGGTATCTGGGCTACATGTGTGTCTGTGCACCAACTGGATTCCTGATGCCCACAGAAGTCAGAAGAGAATGTTGCATCACCTGAGATGGGAGTTATAGATGCTTGTGAGCCACCATGTGGGTCCTCAAAGATTATCCTGTGCTCTTAAAGGATGAGCAATCTTTCTAGCTCATTAACCAGCATTTTAAAAACTATGTCCCCGACCTTCATCCTGTGGGCAATCATACAGATAATATTTTGCTTTTCACATTGATTCCCTTCCTATATCCCCATCTGATTTACAAAGACATCCAAATATCTGCTTAAGTCAGGGATTAGCAAAGAGTGGCCATAGGCTAACTCCAACATGCTACTTGAGTTTGCATGGCCCATCATCCAAGAAAGTGTTTGATATTTTTAAATAGTTGCAAAACTCAAAAACATATTTTCTGGGCAATGGGGCAGTGTATAGGTTTTCTATTTTGCTTTCCGTAAATAGGTGTTTATTTGCATACATCTTCACCTAGTGTTCCTGGTGGCTTTTGAGCAATTTAGGCATGGTGGCAGAGGCTCTGGTGTTAGGAACGCTTACAAGAGTCACTAGATGACCCTTTGCAGAACAAATTTCTCAACCTGTGTGTAAGCCATTCTCTGCACCAGTGTCAGTTAGTGACCACTAGGCTTTACTGACATAAGCAACCAGCTGTGGCTCCAAGTTCTCTCTTGGCACTTTTTCTACAAAAAAAAAGTTCACTTTGGCTGTGCTGCTGGTGATACATTGTAGGTAACACAGCCATGCTGGTTGGGTGTTTCATGTACAGCTGATTGGAGGCTGAACTCTGCCCCTGAGCCTCTGGAAACATAAGGTAGCCTTGCTTTATCACAGTCTTCCTACTTGATGTCTGTGATGTCACTTGAAGATGGAGGGTGACAAGTTCCACTCTGTCACTAGCAAGCATGTCTATATCCATCTTTCCTGTAAGGCTAGGTTCCCATCTGGGCACAGTATGAGAATGCATGTTCAACTTGGTAATTTTAATAAGTTGCGTATTAAATCAATATGGTGGGTGGGGTAAGGTGATACATGCTAAGAACAGATGAAAAATCTTTTTCTTCCTCTCCCCCATCTCCTGAATAGTTCAAAATCAACAAATAAGAAAGGCTGTAGCTGGGCATGGTGGCACACACCTTTAATTCCAGTTTGAGGCCAGCTATGTCTACAAAGTGAGTTCCAGGACAACTAGGGTGGTTGTGTAAAGAAAACCTGCCTCAAAACAAACAAATAACAAAACGAAAAGGGAGAAAAGATAAAGAAAGGCTGTGAAAGTTGCCATTGGCTTGGACAAAGGTGTCATGGGGGTCATCATTTCTGAGCTTAGGAGTCGCGTTTGCCAATCAGCTCATAGACGTCAAGTCTCACATTTCCCTCTGCACAGCTGCCTTCTCCAGGCACTAAGGCAAGTCATGAGATTGGTGACTTTCAACTGGGACTTTGGTATAGGGACAGTCGTCTGTGGCTTTCACAGGACACATGGGTTGGTATATAGTTTTATCATCTGAACAACACATGTTTAGGGAACATGTGGTTTCTTCTACCTACAAAAAGCTGGAAAGGACCAGAGTTCTAAAACCAATGCTCCTAGGCCTGCCCTTTCTCCCTTGGTCATCACCTTTTATGGAAATAGGATGGTAACAGAATGATTCTGGTCCTGTAAGATAGAGAGGTGAATACCCACAATTCATTCTCCACATCATCTAGATGTTAGTGAGTTACCCACCAGTCACCAGTAAGGACATTTGTGCCTCTCAGAAACTAACTGAGAAACACACTAGAACCATCATCACCTCTACCCTCTTTGACTCGGACCCTTTAACTTCACATCTGGAAAGTTCAGTTATGAAATAAAAACAAAGGCTTATATGCAATAAGGTTTATTGCTACAATAGAGCAAGAGCCATAAATAATATAACCCCAGATAAATACATGGGAATGGATGATCCTATTCTCTTGATGAAATATGACGAAGTGATTAAAGATGACGTTCACTCACAGAACACCATGTCACAAAGGGCAGAAGAAATGGGAGACTCTTGTTAAAAATGAAGCTAGTTAGCAGTAGCCAGGCAATACTGATGCTGGCGCAGGGAGATGGAGCTATGAGAGGACAGAAAATCTATACTCAGGTTTGCAGCTTGGCAAGGGAGAGGCAGGGGAGGGGCTTGGTTGGAGAATAGGGTGTCTGCTTAGGAGTAGAGCCAATATGTATGCTGTGACAGGGTGAACCAGCATAGTTAATGCAGGAGCTGCATTAACTCAGGATGGCTTCCCTGGTGAAGGGATGGGACTGGGCTAGGGGACTGAGTCATTGTGTGTGAGGAATAATGCAGGTTCAGAGGTACAGACTTAGGAGTAGGGATGTGCTGGGAAGCTCACTGAGTTAAGGTGATGGGGAAGGTGTATAAACCACAGGAAAAGAAAACTGAATTTTGACCTCAAGGCAAAGATTGATATTTGCTGTGTCTGTGACAAATATGTGTATATAGATGGGGTTTATATATACACATGTGTGGAGCCCAGGGGTGACCACTGAGTGTCATCGATCACTCTCTACAGGAGCTCTCACCAGTTGTGGAGCTCACCCATTCAGCTCTGTTGGCTTACCAGTCAGTCCCAGCAAACCTTGCCTCCAGGTCCTCAGAGCTAGGAATGGGGAGTACACCACCATGCCCAACTTTTATGTGGGTCCTGAGGACCCAAATGTTGCTTCTCATTCTTGCACAGGAAGCTTTTACTGACTTAGTCGTCTCCCCAGCCTCCTAATATTTCCTTAAAGACGACTGTGACCACACCAGGGAATAGATGCAGGAAGAAGGAAGAATGGATGCTGCAGAACCAATTTTGGAATGGGGCTTACAGTGAAACAGACAAGAGAGATGGTGGGCTAAGCAGGGCAGGAGAAAGGCATCTTCCTTCTGTGTTCAGATTAGCATTTAGATGGCTAGTTTGGGGGTTTTAAATGTTAGAATAACCCAGCACTATAAAGATTTTTTTAATTTTAGAAATCTTCTCATTACATAGCAAAAAAAAAAAAAAAAAAAAAAAAGTCTCAAGTCTTAATTGCCTTGCAAAGATTATAGACATCTTCAGGACAGATAAATCCCCAGTTGTCCCAGGATGAACGTCTACCATGGAAATGCCACATACTGTTTTAAAATTGTGCAGAATCCAATACGTGAACAGTTTTCTAGGGAGGAAAAATACACAAGCATAGTTCATCAGAAATCCATGAAAAAGGAGAGGGACAAAAGAGCATTTGGTTCAATGACAGTTCTCCTTCTGTTGCCACGAGCTTCATGAGATCTAGGGGCTTAAAGGAGGATCCCCGAGACTGGCAAGGAGAGCAAAATCAACTGATTTTATGGATTCCATTTTCATAGGCAAACCAGTGTATTATTGTGGAAGTGTGTTCTGCCTCCCCTCAGATGTACCCATCTTCTTCTATACAAAGTTGCTAGGGCAATATTAAGTCTTATCACAGCATTGAGTTGGCCCTGGTACCCTGTGTCGAGTTCTCTCACATTTGTCACAGCAAATGATGACAATCCCATCTGCCAGGCATATGGAATTGGTGGTGCTCAGCAAATCTTTGTCCCAGCCTGGCCCCAGAGAAGGTTTTGAATTGTCTTGTAAGCCCTCTTTCCTCTCTCGTGCCCTTACTGCACTGTCTACCGTGGCAGCTGTGGAGTCAGCCTACCTAATTAATGATGTCTGCCTTCATCTGTCAACTATACTGTGAGCCTCTGGAGGGCGGGGATAGAGCCACGTTTGTCTTGACGTTAATCTTGGCATTCCCTTCCCCTGGCCTTCAGCTGGGGATTGGAGCACCCACCTCATCCAGAGCCGTCATCTCTGGCTTGTTTTAGTGGCCTCACCTGTCATTCCCTAACAGCTCCGTGTGTGCAGCTGCCAAAGTTCAGATGAGATGAACAGAGAATAGAAATTTTGTGCTACTGTTGACCTGGCAAGCAGAGCTTATTAGACTTTATTGTTTGGATTGTTGCTTCCTTTGAGTGATACTTTGACAGTTTAGATTAATAAAAGCCACCCATTTGTGTGTGTGCATACTCTCTACTTTGTTTTGAGATGGGTCTGTTTCCATGCTTTTCCATGGGTGCTGGGGATCAGAATTTAGGTCCTCATCCTTGAGCAGTAATTCCTTATCGCACGGGACTATCTCTCCAGCCCTGTAGTTAACACATTGAATGAGCTCTTCAGGTTAGTTAGCTGTGGTTTTCTGCAGGTAATACTAGTCTCATAAATAGGCTGTGGTCAGTTTCAAACATGTAGCTAAACTAATAGCATGGTCTTCCATTTAAACTAGAGGTAAGAGTCAAAAGTCTGTGGCTCTGGCTGGAACAGCCCAGATGTTTGGTTGACAGGATTATGGAAGAAGTTCTGGTTCTTGACTGCTGATGGTCAGGACACCCATAAGAGCCTCGTTGCCTGCAGAACTCTTGGGAGCTTGGATAGTTAAAGATAGCCATGTTTTTAAATTCATTGTTGACTCCACTGTAGGTTTTGTGATGCTTTGAGCATTGTTTTTTGTACCCATGTCTCACAAGTTTGGTAAAAAGGTCCAGGATTGTTCCCTGTGGAATGGGAGTTAGGAATAGATCTGTCACTGAGAGCCAGATGAAGAAAAAGACCTCTCATCTCAGGCTTCTAGCTTGTTTAGTCTTGGATGCAAAAGCACCGACATAGGGGGAAATTATGCTGGAACAAGCTTCTCCAGAGAGATCCCATGCAGTCTGTGGTTCATTATTCCATCATCTGCTTGGACATTTTTCAGGTCAGCCGTAACTTTGAGCTGGTTGGACGGGTTAACTTGGATCAGCTGGAACAGATGAAGGAAAAGATGGAGAGTTCCAGCAGCGATGATGAGGACAAGGACGATGAAATGAGCAGCAAGGCTGAAGACAGAGGTTAGTCTCACCCTGCCCTCTGAGTCCCAGATGGCACCCAGAATGTCCACGATGAGACAGAAGGGAGGCAGGAGGCTGCAGTGAGAAAAGCAGAAGGAATGATCCTTCTTGGTTAAGTAGCAGAACAGACTGGCTTAGACACCGTCAGAGGCCCTGCCTTACAAACTATTACCAGCTACAGAAACTCCAAGGAAAACATTTTCTTCCTAGAAATGTTTGCTAAAGGGGAAAAAAATATGGTTCCTAGCAAGGAAAGCTAGTTCTGAAGAACCTTCAAAATAAAGATAGGCAATGAGCAAGCTGAATGACATTGCAGGGCTATCAAGGAGCAAGAGTAAACATGGGATTGCACAAACCTTTAAAATGATTGCTGGTAGGGTCATAGTGAAAGGCTGCAATGAATTTGAATTCTATACATGTCCCCCTGGGGCACCTTTCTCTTAACCCCTTAGGGCTCTGGTTCCATTCTATCAAGAGGGAGAGACAGTGTTTCCCATCCTTCCCTATATATGCAGAAAACACCAGCAAAGGTTCTGTGGAAGTTTTGAGCTATTTTTACAACCCTTGCCATTCAGGCATCATTCTAAGATTTAAAAAAAAAAAAAAAGATTCCAACATGTGTTTAGTTGCAGATGACATGTTTATGAAATGCAGAATGTCACCCCTGTTGGCTGGATGGAGGGTTGCAGAGAGGAGGGCTTAGCAGCTAAGAGTGCTTGTTACTTTTGAAAGAACCTAAGTTCAGTTCCAAGTACCCATTTCTGACAGCTCCCAACCACCTGTAACTGTGGTTCCACGGGATCAGACTATGGTTCCTGTGCTCACGTACACATACCCACACACATCCTCAAAATTAAAAAGAAAGGATGTAGGTTGGGATATGTTCCTTCAGTTACTGCAGACTGAGAAAAAGTTCATGTGTGGTGACTGTAAATATGAGGAAAAGGCATTGTAGCTACCACGAATCCAGTGATGGGAAATCCTCTTAGTGGCCATTACTGAGTGTTGTTGTTTCTTTAGTCTTTATGTCCCTGAAGGGTTCTACAGTCACCCATTCAGATCTCCGCCCCCAGTATACAGGACTTTGCTTATGCCTTTGTGAGATCACCAGCTGTCAAATAATGACAGTGACGATGATAATACCCATGTCTGTTTCCTAAGGTGGCCAATATACAGATTTTGTTTTTTAACTTAAAAAGTTCAGATTTTGAACTTTCGTATTTTCTTTGGTTTTAATTGACAAAACAAAACAAAAGTATGTATTTGTGGTGTTTTAGAATAGGTGTACATTGTGAAATGGCTAAATTGAGTTAGTTAAGTTTTCCCTTACATATTTGTCTTGGGAAGTAAGAACTTAATCAACTGAGGAATTCGCATTATTAATTATAGTCACCACTATACAATTGATGTCCTAAAGTCATTCTTCCTGTCTACCTGAAATTCAGTGTCTGACCAGCGTGTCCCTAGCTCTCCATCCCTGGGCTTTGTAAGTGTCTATTCCACTCTCTGCATCACTGAATTTGCCTTGGTATCTGGTTTATTTCCTCATCCATGTCATCTCAGGTGACAGGGTTTCCTGTCTTAAAGTGAATGGTATAAATAGTTTACCAATGGGTATGTGCATCACATCTTCTGTAGCCCTTATTCTGACATGGATTCTGTGTCTTTGTGGATAGAGCTGGAGTGCAGGCATCTCCTCGGTACACTTCTTCATTTTCTTTGTGTGTCAACCCAGTAGTGAGATTGCTGTGGAACTTATAGTATTCCATAATGGCCACCCTAATTCATATTCCTATGTTACTGCTAGTCAACTGTGTCGTTCATTTCTTAGCTTCACCAACATTTGTTAATCTTTCCCTCTGGGTACTAGATGACCTAACTGCTAGGGAGCAGTACCTAAGGTTTAAATTTGCTTTTCCCTCCTGTTTGTGATTCGGACTGCCTTTATGAAGCTGATGTCTGTTTGCATATTTTGAGAAATGCTTATACAGAGCCTTTGTCTATTTCTTAATTGGGGAAATTATTCACTCAAGTATTGTCTGAGTTGTTTGAGTTCTTCATACACCCTGGATGTTGGCCCTGTGACAGGTGTATAGTCTGCAGTTGTCATCTCCCCTTCTGTGGATTGTCTTTTCATTGTGGTGTCTCCTCAGAAGTTCAGAAATTTTCCAGCTTGATTTAGCTCCCATTTGTCTAATTTTTTTTTTTCTTGTGCTTTGTGAGGGCCATGTAAAAAGAAAAATTACAAAAATCATCTTCAGACCTATCTACAGACCAGTGTCATGAAGGGTTCCCTGTATTTCATTCCAGCAATATTTACAGCTTTAGGGCTTACATTAACGAAGTTTCCCTGTGTTTCCTTCCAACAGTGTTTATGGCTTTAGGAGTTACATTTCAATCTTACTTATTTTGAGGTTTTCTTTTTACTTGTTGGGCGATCAGGATCTAGTTTCTTTCTTCTGCCTGGGATGCCCAGTTGTCACAGTAATTATTTATGGGACTATCTTTCCTCCATTGTGTGATATTGGCAACTTTCTCAAAAATCAATTTACTGTGTGTGATTTACCTCTGGACTCTGTTCTGTTCCAGTGGTTCATGCACCTGCTTTTAGTGTCATGCTGTTTTCATTACCTTAGCTTTGAAATGTATCTTAAAAATCACAGAATGTAGTGTCTTCTTCTTTTTCTTCCTTCTTCTTCTTCTTCCTTCTTCTTTTTTCTTCTCCTCCTCTTCTTCTTTTCTCCTTCTCCTCCTTCTCCTTCTTCTTTTTCCAGAAAGGGTTTCTCTGTATAGCTCTGGTTGTCTTGGAATTTGCTCTGTATGTAAACTAGGCTAGCCTTGAACTCAGAGATTAGCCTGACTCTGTCTCCCAAGTGCTGGGATTAAAGGAGTGACTACCACCACCTAGTTTCAAACTTCATATATTCTTTACTCTAGATTACTGTGGCTCTTTAGGGTCTTTTCTGGTCACCTTGGTATTATAAAGGTGAGGGCTAGAGATGTAACTTGTTGATAGATAGTATGTGCCTATTGTGTTTGAGGCCTTGGATTACCATCCCATCACTGCCGGAGACATTAAATGACATGACAGCCAAGGCATGAACCTATAAATAATAGGTCTGACAGATTTATGACCTATTGGTCATAAACCAAGTGGGTATTGAATCTCAGTTTTCAGGTTCCAGAACACTGTACACATTTCCAACCCCTTTGAGTGATAGATAAAATCTTCTTCATTAAGAGAACCTAGCCATGAAATGGGGGGTGCACTGGCCCTGGGGCTAGATAAGGGCCCATGGCAGAATATCTGGCCTGCCTGAGCAGGTATCTTTCATAGGCCATTTTCTTCTGTGGTGTGCTTCTCACCCTCACCCTTCCAATATGATAACCCAGGGACCTAGTTTGGCCTTTGAATCTCCAACCAACCAAGACAACAAGAGTCTAATGGCCAAGGTGTGCTAACTAGTCAAAAGCTGCTTGCCCAGCTGCATGGCCAGCCTGAAAGACTACTCAAACCAAACTGCCTCACCTGTGGGTCATGTCATGTCATTTCTTCTAAGGGAAACACATGTGATCTCAGAAGTGTGGCTTTTTTTTTTTTTTTTTTTTTTTTTTGTCTCCTCTTTTGAAAAAAAAAAAACCTTTTCACAAATGTTCTTCTCAACAAATTCTTAACATCTCTGCACTGTTTTGAATGTCCTCATAGAGGACGCTTCTGACTGAGAGCACAAAGACCCCTTTTTATTCCTGGTACTCTGTGGCCTTGCTGTCCCTCTTTAGGAGATAAAAGATCCCTTATTGGGTGTTATGACTTTTTCATGTCTAAGGCTGAGCACACGCTATTTTGAGGCCATCAGTATTCCAGAGTCTTCTGTTTCCCCAGTGATGTCCCCCAAAATAGATAATAAAATAAGCATAGCCCATGAAGAAGCACAACCAGTGAGGTGTGTCGGATAGCAAACACACCTCCATGCCTGTCCAGCTTGGCCTCCCTTCACTGCTTGAGACCAGATGTAACCAGAGAGAACTGTGGGGCTTCTGCTTCTCACTGGAAACTATTGTGTCTTCATTCACAAGACCTAACCATATGAAGCAAAAGGCCTTCTCTGGTTGGTCTGGGGGACTGACCTGAGTGCCTTGGGAACTGCAAGCTGAAACTGTCCCTTCCATGTCATCCATCCTTGCAAGAACAACTTCCTTTGTCCCATCTCCCTTGAAACAATCTAGAATCAAATCTTCCATCTCAGTAGATTCTTGCCAAAAAAAAAAAAAAGCCTGAGGTGTTTTTGCCAGATATCCTGGCTTCTGGCAGAGGGCAAGAGGAGGGGTATGAGCTCAGCTCTCAAGCTGGGGGAGAGTGATTTGAGATGTGACAGGTAGAATGGCCTCTTCTTTGAGGGGCGAGTTTAGCATGTGCCCTTGGAGACAATAGAGGACTGGCTTCATGTTTCCTGAGGGCAAAGGAGCAAGTACTAGCAACATTGTCCTTGTAAGTAATTTGGGCTGTCATAATGGATGCCTTCTTTGGGGGAATCTACAGCCTTCCTCCTACCCAGTTCCTTTTCAAACAAGAGCTAGGGAGCATACTCAACACAGATGCACAGCAAGATTGGCCTGGGAAGCTCAGAGGGAACTGTAGAGAAAAGCCAGGCATGAAGAAATTGAAAGGAACCCAAGCAGAACTCTGCCCACCCCACCCCCTCTCATTATGCAACTGGGAGGAGTCAGGGAAGGCATTCTGTTGATTTCTTGCCCAAGATAATCCCTGCTAAGGAATTAATGCGCAGAGCAGATGGTGCTGTCTCATTTCCAGTGAAAAGAATCAAGGAAGATAGTCTGTGCAATTATTTTTAATGGCTTGTATGGTGATCTTCTTAATTTGTGAGAAAATGTCTCCTCTTTTGTGAAAACTGGCCTTGTTCACATAGCTTTTGTCAAGAGGACGAAGGCGTCACAGAGCCCCAGTTAATGTCTTGAAGATTTCGTGAAAGATGGGGCATAACCACGAGATGGCTTCCTGTGATATCTAATCTGTGAGGCCAGGATCAGAGACGAAGAAGATCAAATTTCCTTAAATTCTACCGTTTTTTACAGAATGGCTTACTTGGCCCTCTGTGGGCTAATGAAAGGCATATGGGCTTAGGACCCAGGATAGCACAAAGGCCGCATAAGCCCTCATCTTTGAGCTTGCCAGGAGGTGTGGCTTAAAAACAATTAGCTAAACAATCCCCATTTATCAGACCCCTAACATGTGCCAGTATCACAGGAGTAAACAAAACAGCTAGGTCAATATTTGATGTGTACACCAGACCCATTCAGAAATGTCTTTGTATCCCTGCATTTGTGTATACCCCTGGTTGAGAAATAGTGGGCAGCTGACCAGGTTCCATCACTGGCTGGGGACATGCTTTTTTATTATTTTTATTATTACTATTGCATGTGTTCATTTATTGCATGTGTGAGGTCAGAGGACAACTTGTAGGAGTTGCTTGTTTTCTTCTCCCGTGATATGGGCTCTAGGGAGTAAATGCCAATCATCAAGCCTGGTAGCAAGCAACATTAATCCACTGAGCCATCTCACTGACGCAGAGACACTTTTATATAGACCCCCCATCCCCACTTCACAGTTGTCTAGGGCCCCCGTTCACAGGAGGGGCCCTAACTACCCTGCCAAAGTGTTGTAGGCATTGTGAAGTTTCGAACTCAACAGGAGGAGTAAAAAGGCCCATGGTCTACACTGTACGACCAGGTTTGGTGTTTCCTGTGGTCTATTGTCTTTTTAGTGAAAAGATAAACCTGTTCCGGAGACACTGAGTAGCTGCCAAGCTGTCAAGCCCTCAACCAGAGAACGCAGAAGGGATGAGTTAATTGGAAAAGGAATGCTGTGGGATCTTAGAGTAGGCCCAGGAGCCTTTTCTGGCAGGAGGGTTGTTGATGGTAGAAGCTATTGCATAAGTGATAAGTAGAGAGCCTTGGTGACTGGAACTGGAGACAGTTCCTGAGAGCTATTCAGGAAGCGTGCTTAAGAGAAACCCTGAGGCAGGGAAGTCTGGTGATGGCTTGCAAAGTAACTTCCCAGGTAAGTCAGGAGATGCTCCCCCAGTGCGTGTTGACTCCCAAGCACAAAGGTAAAGCTGGCCCTTTCTTTCTGTTTGCAGAGCTGATGAGATTTTCTGACCGAGGGACTGGTGTGAACCCTGAGAAGCGATTTCCGTGTGAATTCTGTGGACGGGCATTCTCTCAGGGCTCTGAGTGGGAAAGACATGTGTTGAGACATGGCATGTAAGTATGGTCCTAAGAAGACCTTTGCCCACATGAGAGAGTGGGAGGGAGCTGAGAATTTTCCTAATACTGTGTAGACCAGCCTAATCATTGCCACCTCACAGGCATGGAAGACAGGCAGTGATGACGGAGGGGCTAGATTCTTCCTCAGTTTTTAAAATTGCCACCCCAACAGAAGTCAGGGGAAGGGAATCCTGTACTCAAGGGTAGTGTGCCCCTTTAGTTTGCATTTACGACACATTCTCTGATACAATGGGGATCTGGCGCTGGGTTTCTGCTTCCGTGTCTGCTCAGTTCCATGAATGGCCTTGATCATGCCTGTGACTTAATTCAGAGACACAGCTCCATTCCACCTGCCTTGCCGTCACGTTCTGACCACTCACTTCTTTGAACATAAAATTGTTCTCGACACAAGTAGCCCTTAGTCCGCCAGCCAGAGAGAACTAAGTTGTGGTTTGTGTGAGTTGCCCATAGTGTCTAGACCTGAAAATATAACCAAATTTCTCAAAATGTAGGGTGCTGCCTGCAGGTTTTTAGGTTTTTGTGTGTTTGGATGATTTATTAATAGACTTGACTAATCTTCAATACTCCTTTTATCTTAATCATTACTGGCCAATACCAAACTTCTGAGTTCAGCTGATGAATTTGAGTGTGAGGCAGTTCTTGCCATTTTCCCACTATATAGCTCAGAGAAGGGGACGATATAAAAATACTATATTAATTTGGAAGCAAAACATTGTATAATCAAACCATGGTGCAACATTGAATATTTTTAGGGATCCAAATTGTTAGAGGTCTACATGACATAGAAAATCACTGGCGATTTAGTTATATACACATAGAATTGCAATGCTATTTTAGAGTCAGAAGTAAGGGCAGATGAGTTGTTAGTTTAGTTGTAGAAGGCATGCAAGGGGCCATGGCCGTCACTCAGCTAATAAAATGCTTGGTGTGTGTTTGTAATGCCAGCTCTGGGGAGGCAGAGACAGAAGGATCCCAGCCTACTATATTGACCTAGCCAGTGAGAATACCCTATCTCAAAACAAAAAAGATGATGCCTGGGGAATGACCGCCACCGCCAAGCTTGTGCCTGACCTCCAAAAGCCTGTGCACCCAGCTCCTGACCGCTGTCTCTCCTCCTTCAGTGCTGGACTTAGAGATGTGCCACCACATCTGGCCTATGAATGTTTTTGTTGTTTGTTTTGCTTTTCCAGGGCATTGCATGATACCAACCAAGTGAGCAGAGACGAAGTCCATACGAAAGAGATGGTAGAGGATAGTATGCAGCTGCCCTCCATAGAGGCAAAAGAAGACGATGAGCCAATCGGGATAGACTTTTCCCTAAAGAGTGAAGCCGTAGCCATCTGTGTAGTAGCTGCCGACAAATCTCTCCTGGAGACTGCAGAGGCCAAAAACGAATAAGAGTGTGGTGAAATTCTTATCAAATCTTACTTGAACCGTGATGAAAATGTGGGAGGGCCGGCGTGGGCTGAGAAGGGAGGGGGCAGAGAAGACAGAACAAAAGCTGCTTTTAGGACTGAACAATCTATTTTCAGGGCACTGGTACCTGTGTGAGTGAGGATGTAAATTAAAGTTATTTAAATGGTTGGAATATGTGGCTCCGTTCCCGTCACGCCATCCTTCCTTCCGGATCTTCACCACGCAAGTTTTCATCTGCTGCAGTTTGGGAAGTACGTTCCTCGAACACAGCGGGCGCTCACCGTGACCCTCGGACAGTGTGTGGCAACCGAAGCTCGGGGACAGTAGAAGACTTCTCCTAGGGGAACAACTTTTTGGGCGCACAACTTTCAGTGCGTTTTTATAGTTTTAATACCTTAAGCTTTTTCAAGACCTAACTGCAGCCGCTTTGGGAGAAAAAAAAAATAACAGAACAGAAAACAAACAAACAAAAAAACTGCTTTGCATAAAACAGTCACCTGTTTCCTAGTACCTCAGACTTAACCAAGGGAAATCTCTGCATTTGTCTTTACTACCTGTCACCCTTGTGGTTAAATGTGGAGAGAGCTGCTGGACAGGATGGTGAATGGAGAAAAAGAGTTTTAAAGAAAGGAACACAAATTGTGCTTAAAATCCCCACGTGGGTTTTATTTCTTAAAATACTGTGATTTTTTTAATTATTTTAGTAAAAAACAAAACAAAAAAAAAAAAACAGACTTTAATTACTAGATAACTGTGTGTGAATTGTCACCCTGTATTCCAGGTAAGCTGTTTATTAGTGTTCAGCTATAATTTAGAATTTGGTAGGTTCATGTGAACTAATTTTAAGGTGATTGTGGGGTTTTGTTGGCCACATGTTTATTTTCTCTCAATTTGAGTGTTACAAACACAGCACAAATTCAGTTTTTTCATATATAAATTGTTCTTTGTGCATTTGTTTTTAATTTGAGGTCAAGGGAGAGTTACAGGATTTGTGTGCGTGTGTGTGCATAGGAATTTTTATAATTTTGAACATGGAAATAAAAAGAGGTTAACTTCCCTTTCTGTTTTGTTTTTAATTTAACTAAAGAACCAAACCCCAGCCCAGCTATGCAGTGTGTGGGTCAGTTAAAGAGGCCCTCTGACCCTTTCGTTTCTTCTCATACAAACACCAACAATTTCTGTTCGATTGGGCTAGCTTTCATGTGTGATTTGAACTCATGTGTTTTGGTTGCTTTGTGTATTGTGAGGCTTTCTTGTTCCTTTTGGGAGCCATCCCTTTCAGAGCATGGGCAAGAGATCCTATAGGGAGCCATCTTTCCATCTAGCTGTTCTGTTTCTGTTTCCCCACATTAGCTTTTTTTTTTTTGGAGACAGCAGCTTAGACTAAACGTAGACTACACATTTATAGTATGTTCTGATTGTGAACAGGGGTTTCTTTCCAAAAAGTAGAGAAGTGTCTTTTTAAAGCTTAGGTTTTAGAAGCGTGTGAGTGAGTGTGTGTGTGTGTGTGTGTGTGTGTGTGTGTGTGTGTGTGTGCGCGCGCGCGCATCCACATACATGTACAATGAATGTGTATGGGCCAGTGTCAGTCCTTTATCGTGTCTCCTTTTTTGTTTTGGTTTTTGGTTGGTTGGTTTGGTTTTTCTTTTTTAACGTGGAAGGGTTGTTGGGTTGGGGGGCGGGCCAGGAGGGATGAGGGATGACTGAGGTGACAGTGTCCCACATAGCTTCAAATAAAATCCATGGAAAGATGCTCAACTTGTGAAGTAAGTACTTACTTGAAAAGCATGTTCTTGTTTTTTGTTTTGTTTTGTTTTTATTAGAATTTTTATTTGTAGGATGTTAATTTAATATTTTTTTAGGGATGGGGGCCATCGTGTGGAAAGCAAAAGTATGGAAAGTGAAATATCTAGACAGATTCTTTTGTGTCCTTATTTGTTTCTGATTGGCCTCATTCAAATGTACTAAACGGTTTCATATCTAGATTGGATGTTTGTGATGGTTACCAAAACAACGAAGGGAAACAAAAAGAGAAACAATTGTGACATGCTTTTATCTACTTTATTTTTCAAATAACATGTAAATATTGTAATCCATTGGATTTTGTTTTGCTAACCTGTTAATAAAAATATGGGACCATTATCCTTTTAACAAGGCTAGAATGTCATTTTATTTCCTTTTTCAAACATATACCTGATATTTTGTGGCCGCACATTTTGGATGCATTGTTTCTGTTGACTGTAATGACATATAATTTACAACTTTTTTGTTGTTGTTGTTTAATTTATACAGAGGACATTTTTTTTTCAGAGCTTGAGAGAAGAAAATAAATAGCAAAATGATAACCTATTGACTCCAATAATCAGTGTTTCCTGAAACTTCATGAAAGACAGAGGGATCCTGACACAAATAAAAATAAAAACCACAAGTAGGCTATTCAAGTTGTTTGCAACATACATTTTGTAATGAAATGTGAGAAATTAATAAAGAATTTTTTTCACATGTGTCTATGTGCATCTGTTGTAAGTCATTGATGGGTGTGATTACAGACAGGAAGGCTGGCGTGAGTAACAAAACCTGTCCTCAATCTACATACTGATGTGGAGATCAGGGTGAAGTGTGTGAGCTGGAGTTTAAAATGTCAACATTCCTGCATCAGAGTATGCAACACCAATGAAAATTTTATGGAGGGAATGTTTTCCACCAAAAAAATGAGAATCATTTGGTCGTGGTAGCTCACACCTGAAATCTCAGCATTTGGGAAGCTGATGCAGAAGGATGACCACAACAACTCCCCCACCACCATGTACAACCCCCAAAATAAATTGGGAATCAAAATGGAGCTTCAGGAGCAAATGCCAATACTGGAAATCATCCATGAACTGAGGCCATGATAAGTCACATCCCCTGGAGGATCCTGATGGTCACCCTCACCTCATGCTGCATGCTCTCTTACTGTGTATTAGGCACAGATCATCACGGTTCCTTTAGTGTTTTTAAAGCCACCCTATTAGAAGCCAAAGGAGGAATTAGTCACACTAATACCCTGGTTGCCTCTCTTCCTTAATGTTTTGTATGCCCTTAGCCAATTTGGAGTTAAGAAATGAGATGATCAGAAGTCACAAGGCTGTATGTGACGGAAACAAAACCAGACAGTAAGGATGCCAAGGGATGGTAACTCTGTGTTGACAAAAATACAATTTGGGAAACTATATAGACTCCAACGAGTGCCTGGATCTGAGCTCCCCTCAGGCAATGCAAAACAAGGATCAATCAATAAAAATCTTTTATTTTTTAACTTCTTAAATGGGCTTTCTCCATACAAAACTGCTGTTCTCCAGTGACTTCCATCAACAGTTATGAGTGACTTCCATCAACAGTTATGAAGTGTCTTTAACTGAGTTTATGTCTAACCCATGCTTCTGCCTTGGGCCTGGTAGGGGCCACAAGACAGTCTGATGCCTCTGGCTTAGCATGGTAGAGGTCTGATTCAATTCTGTGTAGTGGTCTTCCTCTTTTTCACCTGATGACATGATGATGCTCCATCATAGCACAGAAATAACAGGGTCACCGTGGGAGCTTAGTATAGCAGCACTCTGCCACGGCAATAGCACACATACTTTATGGGATAGACCTAGTCACAGCCCCAACTATCCACATAGGGGCTGGAAAGTGTCTAGTCTAGGCTCCCAATGAGTCCAGGAAGAATGTGAGCTATGAGCTTCTGCCACAACGAAAAACAGCAACAGGATACATGGAAACCTTGTATTCAAAAACACAAGATGCTGGTCCCATCAGCCAAGTGCTTATACAACATTACTTAGTGGGTATTTGGTGCTAGCAACTGGATGACAGACAGACACGGCTCCAGTCTTTTGACAGCTTACAAATGAGGGTGGAAATGTGAGATATGGAAAGGGAACTTCATCAAAGGTGTTGGATTCTAGTGGACCCTTCATTTATCCTTAGGAAGCTTTGGGCCTCTGTGTTGATGCAGCTGACCCTCTATATACTGCCCTTGAGAGTAAATTTGTTTTCTTCCTGCCTCTTAGAGGAATGCCTCTGGGTTAAGAAGGCACATGGCATATCTATTGAGTGAGCCTTCAGTGCTATGCTTAAGCAAAGGCTACATCTCATCCCCTTGTCCCTCCTTTTCATTTTGCCCACTGCTGGGACATCACTCTTTGGAATGAACTTAACAAAATCAAGTACTTCATGCCTTGTACAAGCAAGCAAACTGGAAACTAAGACTTTCTTTTTAACTAGGTGTGGTGATGTAGATGTTTGTTCCCATCACTCAGAAGGCAGACAGATCTCTTGAGTTCCAGGTCAGCAAGTTCAGGCAACTCAGGGATATGGAATGATACCTTGTCTCTAAATAAATAAATGCATTTTTATAGTTCTTAAAAAGTATCAGCTGGGAGGAAGGAATTAAAGTCACTTTAGTCCCTCCCACATTCATATCCTGGAGTGTTTTCTAGCCCTTTTGTTGTTGGTTTCTCCTTCCATGGTTCAAATAGGATGAATAGGAGGGTGGTGGTGGCATACAACTTTAATTCCAGCACTTGTGAAACAGAGGCAGGAAAATCTCTTGAGTTCAAAGCCAGCTTGGTCTATAGAGTGTTCTAAGACAGCCAGGGGTGCACATAGAAACCCTGTCTTAAGAAAACAAGTAAATAAATATGAATAGTTTTACAAAATTCTTTCCACTTCATGGTGTAAATATTTTTCATGTTTCTTATAGTTTTCGAAAATAGAAATGTTTCAGACTGCATAGCATATTGGATAATAGAAATGAGTATGTATAATCTGCAGTCCCTAAGAATTACTGAATATTCAAGCTTAATGTTTTTTATATTTTACACAATAATGCTGTTAACATTTTGTCACCAACTTCCTAACCTGCCCAAGTTTCACTAAGTAGTATTGTCTTAGAGCTTCCATTGCTGTGACAAAACATTATGACCATGAGCAACTTGGGGAAGAAAGGACTGATCTTACACTTCCACACCACAGTCCATCCTGGAGGAAGCCAGAGCAGGAACAGAAGTAGAGGCCATGGATACACAAAACAGAGGGCACTGGTCAGTACTAGATTTAAATCAGGTCACCCACACTCAAGCATCAGTTGACCCATTTATTGTGTATCTCTTGGGCAGGTTACTTAAACCATGTACCTTGCTGTATATATTATTATTGTTGTTGTTTTGTTTTTGCTTTTTAAGTCGGGGTTTTTCTGTGTAACAGTCCTGGCTGTCCTGAAACTTGCATTGTAGACAAGGTTGGCCTTGAACTCACTGAGATCTGTCTTCCTCTGCTTTATTTTTTAAACGAACATGCAGAATTTAACATGCATCTTGGTTGCTTTTATTTTTATTGTTCTTTTAAATTTTCCACATATTTCTGCCCAGCAAATTTATTTATTCATAACAAAGAGACTAGACTTTCAAATTCAGCTGTCTTTAGGATGTTGAGTCTTCAACACAAGTCTACTTCAATAGAAAGGGAAGAATTCTTGCCTATTCTGCAGTGTGCAGGAGCAGATTGTAAACCCTGTTACCAAAGCCTGCAAAGCAACGCATAACAAAATTATTTAGAAACATGGAGGAAGGGAACCAGTGTGACTGCTCAGCAGGTACATACTTGTCATACAAGCAGATGGCCTGAGTTTGAGCCTGAAACTCATGTAAAGACAGAAGGATAGAACTCATACAATAAATTGTCCTCTAGCACCCAACATGCACCCCCACAATAATAAAAAGATAAAATATTTTAGAAGATAAGTACAGAGGAAAACCTCTGGGGTCAGGGATGTAGGAAAGAGGCTGCATTCATAAAAAGGCATCTAAATGATGGGTAGGATATATACCAGGAATAAAGAGGGATCGAGAGGGGCCATTGAAGGCAGACAAAGAGGCAAAATGTTGTCTGGTACAAGTAGTGTTAGGTGACCCACACAAGGAGTCCCAGAGCCAGATGACCACAGAATTAACTCATTAAACCAATGAATATCACGCTGGGGATTTTTACTATAAAGAAGTAGAGATGACCATTGGAACTGTAAACCCAGTAAGGAAGTTTAACCAAGGTATTGACAGGTTTAAGAAAGAGTATGTTTCGGGGGAGGGCCTAGGCCCTGCTCCAAATGATAGGACAGACTTTGAAGATCCCCCATGGAAGGCCCTCCTTGGGGAGCAGAAAAGGGATGGGATAGGGGGTTGGGTGGCACAGGGGAGAAGGAGAAGGAGAGGGAACTGGGATTGATATGTAAAACAAGAGGGGTAGAAAGACTGTGTCAAATTAATCTGAAGTATCTAATCCCCATCATTTTTCATTCAGGATTGAAGCCTAATTTTAACTGGAGTGGCTAAATGCTCAACTGTCCTGTTTTTGTTTTTTGTTTGTTTGTTTGTTTGAGACAGGTTTAATATGTTGTCTCAACTGGCCTAGGACTCACTATGTAGACTAGGCTAGCCTTGAACTCACAGAGCCTGTCTGACTCCTAAAAGCTAGAATTAAAAGTGTTTAGCAAGCATGCCTGATGTGCCCAACTTTTGAAAACATATTTTTTTTCAGCTCTTCCTTTTCTGTTTGACTTCGTTTTGTTTTGTTTGAGAAGATGTCACTACATAGCCCTGGCTGGTCTGAAACTTGCTTTTGTAGACCAGGCTGGCCTTGAATTCACACAACTCTCATTGCCTCTGCATCTCAAGAGCTGGATTTAAAGAAAGGTGTGTGCCCCCACTCCCAGCTTTTCCAGCTTCTTTTGCAAGACTATATAGCACGCATCACAATTCTGACCAATACAATGTAAAAGAAGGGACTCACGAAATTTTTCTAAGACAATTTTCCTCTCTGGCTATAGGCTCTACCTCTTTCTCCACTTTTTGTTTATTTACTTTCTTCCTTCTTTCTGGAATTCCTCCTGGAATAGACGGCACCAGCAATTATGAGACCACAAGGGTAAGAGTGATTTGTTTCCACTCAATGGTGCTCAATGGGTCAGTAAATGGAAGGAGGCTTGTCCACAAATGCATTCTGGGTATGCTGGAGGTGGTTCTGGGAGATCAAAGGATGGGTGTTTAAGCTATTGACACTCAGAATGGTTTGATATTCCCAGACAGAAGCAGTACTAACTGCTGCAAAGCAATAGCTAGTTGAAGTCAAGGCAAGTTCACTGCCATTAAGTTAACTAAGCCCTATGAGTAAAATGATTCCAAAGCTGAGTTAAAATGGAAGACTTCATTCTCCATGTTGGCCGAGCCAGAGTTAGTGGTTTCTTGCAGCCCTTTGGAAGAGAGACTTCAACTCTAGTGTCACTATGGCCAAAGGTCAGAATTCACCAAGGGATATATGGCAGGCCCACTTGCAGGGGAAACAAAAGGAAACTCTGCCACCCCACCCCTTCTGTACTGGTCTCAGGTGCAGAAAAGACAGGAAATAGATATGTATATCAAAGGTTTCCATGGTCTCATGTGCCCAGAGTACGTAGAGAGCATCATTGGA